AAACAAACAAACAAACAAATAAATAAGCTTTGCATTTTTGTAGTTGGTAGATCATTTTGACTTGGTCATTTTATACGTAGCTCGCATGCTGAAAAAGTGTAGCACCCCTGATGGAGACCATTAAGGATGTAGCATTGGAGATGGATAGATGTGGTTAACATAGTGGGTTGCAAGTTGGGCTGCTAACCACAAGGTCAGCAGTTTGCACATACTAGCTACTCCACTGGAGGAAGATGAAGTTTTCTGCTCCAGTAAAGATATATAGACTTCAAATCCACAGGAGTATCTCTACTCTTTCCTATAGGGTTATTATAAGTAAAAATGAATACCAGTGTATTTTGGTTTATTTAGATGTACAGTAAAGATGATGGTGATTTACCATTAATGTGGAGATGGAAAGACATGGATTTATACAGGACATATTTTGTATGTAAAATACACAAGTCTTATTGATAAATTATACAACACAACAACAAATTTTTTCTTTTTTTTTTTTTAGTCCTGTTTCTGGGGTTAATTAGGATAGTGATACAGAAATTTGCATTGGATAGACCTGATCGGCTTTAGTTTCTTCATTATAGTGTTCCACTCTATTTCCAGCTATTGTTATGCTAATTTATTGATTTACAATCCTAGTTTTAAATATGAAAATAATTCAGATCCATAAATTACATAATAAAAGAAGATAAGAAATAGTTGAAAAAAGGTAAGTATTAAGGGGCTTTCAAGGGAAGCTGCAAATGGATTCGTTGTGGCTAATAGGTTACACACTGAGTTGCCAATCATAAAGACAGTGGTTGGAACCCACAAGTCACTCTGCTGCTTTTTAAAAAGATTTAAAGGGGTATCATTGCTGATGTCAGACAGATGGTGGCTCAAAGCAGAGAATACCAGAGAGATGTTTGCTTGGGTTTTATTGACTATGCCAAAACATTCAACTGTGTGGATCACAACAAACTATGGATAACCTTGAAAAGAATGGGAATTCCAGAACACTTTATTGTGCTCATGGTGAGCTTGTACATGGATCAAAAGGCAGTTGGGCAGACACAACAAAGCTATACTGCATGGTTTAAAATCACAAAAGGTGTGTATCAGGATTTCATCTTCTCACCATATTTATTTGATCTGTATAATGAGCGAATAATCAGAGAAGAATAATCATATGAAGAATATGGTATCAGGATTGGTGGAAAGCTTATAAACAACGTGCAATGTGCAGATGACACAACTTTGCTTGCTGAAAGTGAGGAGCACTTGCTGATGAAGATCAAGGATTTCAGACTTAACTATGGTTTACAACTCATTGTAAAGAAAACAAAAATCTTCACAACTAGACCAACAGACAACATCATGACAAAAATATCGAAGCTATCAGGGATTTCATCTTACTTAGGTTTATAATCCATGTTCATAGAAATAGCAGTCAAGAAATCAAATGGG